CTTTCCCTAACCTTTGTCATCTTTGTTTTTGCTCATTAAACAGTACATGGGTCTGCATATATACATACCTTGAACACAACATGGAAAAAATAGTCAACATAAAAAAACGACATACATGTCATACAAGTCAGAATTTTGGTAAGGATCATTTATACTGTATATACAAATTCAGCTTTTTTCCCTTTTCTTTTTTAATGTAGTGAGTAATCTCTAAATAAGACACTTCGACTGTACCAAGTGGCTCTATGTGCGAAGGGTGGAGGAGATAGAACGCTAGGCTAACACTTCAGTCAGTGGTCACAACGCATGAGAACGTCGGCGGTGAGGGCTAAAAGCACCGCGGAGGCTTCTCAAAGAGTCGAGGAAAGAAAAGTGTTAAGAAATGTCTTGAATTCTTCACAGAGACCGAGAGAAAGAGGAAGAAGGGAGAACATGTTTGTCTAGACGCTGCACTGTCACAGACAGAGTCGGTACAAAGATGGGGAATAGAGCGATGCTCTAAATTCATCTACAGCCTTAAAACCGACAACACAGGAGAACAAGTGGCTGCTGGAATCTAAACACACTCCAGCGCAATACAAACAAACAAAAAACAAAACACCACCTTATCTAAATCTATTATCTTTAGGCAGCAGCAAATATTGCCGCTGCTCTGCCTGATATGAGCTCACCATAAATGATTTCTGAACCATTGTAGTTAATATACATATATCTATATATACTTTTTATACAGAAGGAAAAGTAATATATAAACTGTGTATGTATGCATGTTTGTTTTGTATTGTATGTATATATTATACAAGCACACAGAACCAGATACATGTCACATCTATCGCACATGGTAATCCAACAAACATCTGCCCAGGAGTATGGAACAAAATTTAAAAACAAAGTCGGGTAAAACTGCTTGCTAACCATTTAAAAACAACCCCAGGCAAACAGCAAAAGAAAGCAAACAACCTGTCCAAACACCACCTCTGGAAGTGGACTGTGTCTTTCCACGTACACCAGCATCGTCATGCATCCGTGTGTGAAGGTGTGTCTGAGTGTGTGTATACGCGTGCATGAGCCTCATGCCTTGTCTGCAGAAGTGGAGGTGAGAAGTGAGAGGGTGTGGTGATCCCCCCCCAGGTGATCCTAACCATACTCAGGCCATGCACTACAGGAGGAACCAAAGAGGGGGGGAATCGGCCAAGGGACACAGGGGTCAGAGGTCACAGGACGAGGATGCAGAAAAATGGAATGATGTGGGGGAGGGAGATAGGGAGAGGGCCAAGGGGAACAGCTTAGGACTTTTTCTACAGATTGTCCTCTTACAAACATTAGCAGGCTAGCGTTGTGTATACGGGTACAGTGTACTTTTACCAATAGCACAGCCGACAACACCTCTGGCCCTGCTTTGCTTCCCCCATCAAAAGGGCACGGAGAGTCATCGTTGACAGACAGTGGAGTAGAGTTCAAACAACTGGATGAGGATCCAGTCAGGGTTAAAAGAGGCTGATTAGGGGTGCTTGGTTTATGGTCTTGGCATGGGGCTGTTGGCT